AGCAAGTTTTATGGGAATTACAGAGTATTTCTTCACTGAAAGAAGAGCAAAACACTGCTCTATGTGTCATTCAGGCACAAATGCTGAATGCAGGAATCAGATGAAGCTGATCAGAGAAAAATCACTGATATCAGCCCAAAATGGCGGCCGGCTAAAGCATGGGTCCACCTGTCATGCTGGTTGGTCGTTATCCCTTCAATCAGAAACACTGAGTGACCGTAGCACTAGCAGAACTGAGGAACAGGACTCACCTTCAGGTGCAGAGCTGCTGGAGGACAACTTCTGCTGGAGATCAGTCCTGTTTATCTCCTGTAAAATCTCCATGGCAACCTGTAGGCTTTGTTTTTGCAGCAGCTGCACCATCACCTCCGCGAGGTTCAGTCTCTCTGTCATCTCATCCTGGTGTCTGAGGAGTAACTTGAAGCCTCTTTTCCAGACCCGCTTCTGGAGAATCCTCCTGAAAACTTCCAGCTGCATGTCGCTGAGATCCATGAACACTTCCAGAAGTTTCCTCACATCTGGATCATTGGTTTCCTGAAAGTTAAATAAACCAGCAGTCACTTTAAAAGCTGCTTTAAACCAGTTCAAGTTCATTTCACGGCTCCTTCAATTCTTATCTATTTATGATTTGCTGTGTTTGACTCATTCTGTGTAAAACACAGAATGAGTGTAGAAATATTCTTATAATCAAATCTTATCTATAAACTCTTAAGGTTGTGTAAGAAAATGAGTTTGAAGTTGGCGTGTGATTTTAGAGGTTAATAAAGGGCTTAGTTCAGTTTAACATTATTAAAAATCCTTAATTCAGTTTTTAGATTCAATTTAGTTACACTGAACCGCCTCATTCAGAACAAAACAGAAATAAGTAAAAATGTCTCATTAAGTGTTTAACCTTTAAATTGAGCATTTAAATAAGTTGATTTGCTAATTGAACGGATTAGATTTTAGGTTCACTCATTGGGTCATCTGATAATCCTGGGACCAACCATCGGTGCCGCCGGGTCTTTGGTCCTGGGATTATTGGATGTGAGCGTTATGGGTGAATGTGCGTCTGTGTTTTTTTGTTTTTTCTGTGGTGAGAGTGGGGGCGCTAGGGTAGGAAGGCGTGATTGAGCCTGTGAGTTTTTTTTCCCTCCCAGGTTGGGGTCTGAACTGCC